AAGAGTGGGAAAGGCAGATTCTAGGCCCTGTGGGATGTCTACCAGAATACTGTGGAGATGACCTGCCAAGAGATGCTACCTCTCAGTCGACACTGGAACTGTTCAAGCAAGCACGTATATTACAGCTGTAATTCAAACATCAGGACATCTTTACTTTTACTTCCACAAATATTCCATGATGTCTAAGAGCTGGTGACCAGGCACTAGCACCAGCAGCCCAGTCACCATCTCCAAAACAATTCTCTCTCCCAGAAAACTGGAATAGAGACTAAGGGATATTGTTTTTTTAAAAAATGACTCTTACTTGCTTAACCTTGTCATCAGAAAAATGCCGAAAGGGGAACACACACCCTATCTCACCTTCACTGTGTACATTTTACTGCACTTTAACCTTTCAAAAATCCTGGGAATACATCTAACTGGCAGAGCCTGGTTCTCTCCCACAGGACTTACGCTACATTAATGATGTGATGCTAACGTGACTAGATAGAGGAGCAGGTGAAAACTAATTAGAAATATACCCTTAGATCCTCTCCCCAACTCCCAAGAGAAGACTAGAGGTTTATTGTCTAGAGAATAAAGCAGAAGGTCTCTGAACTGGACAATGCCAAATACAGCTGAGAACATAGGAAGTTACTACAAACAAGAGGATTAAGTGACTTTATGTATATTGAATGGTGAAACTTCTAGTTCCCTCCTCACACTTTGTTCCCATAACACAGGCAGCCAGACATCCATAATCCAAATAGATATCTTAAGCATCATCTTTGAGAAATATAACCAGTCCAAAAGGAAAGACCCAATGATACTGACATCAGTAGTTTCTCCAAAGATGGCCCAGCCAGATCATCCTGCATGGAATTCAAAGTTGACAAATCCTACCCAAGCTACCAGAGCCTCCAGTAAGATTTTAAGTCCCACGCTCTTAATCAAATAGAAGCAACTTCAAGAAATATTATACAGTATCAGGAAATCTTTGGAAATTCTATCATTAACATCTTTAGAGAGATGAGGAAATATTGTATCCAAGAAACAAAAACATGATGCCATAGAAGGGAATATTTAGAGAACAAGAAATTACTCTTAAAAAATAAAATAGCAGAAATAAAGTCTGCAGACAAGGCACTACAACTGCCCTAGCTTCCATAACTGGTTTCCAGGTTGCAATACTGGAAGAGAATAGCCAGAGGGAACCTAGCATTCCCTGCAAATTGAGCAGATAAAGCTGGGAATCTGGAGACACCAAAATGGCTAGAGTTCACTGGGCAGAGTACTGGAGAGGCAAGAGCTGCACAGATAGCTGCAGAGAATACCCCTCGAATCTTCAGCTAAGCACTAATTAATACATGCATGTGAAGAAAACATCCGAGTGTGAGGAATGAACCACCTGTACAGTGCAAAGGGAGCGATCTTCTGAGCCCACGCAGAGTCAGAAATATTTCATGTTATGATCAGCCAGAGTGAAAAACCTGACAAACCACAGAGCATGAGTGAGTCTTCAGAAGGATTTTGCCCCAGTAGGAGGGTAACACTGTTCCTAGACTAAATGCTGCTCTGGTCACACCTAATAAAGTAACTTATTAAAGCAACCAAGAACAACTCATGAATTCACGGAAAAGCAAAAACAAACATTGCCCAACAAGGTAAAATTTACAATGTCTACAATTTTAAAAATTACCAAGCATGTATAGAGCAGAAAAATATGACCCACAATAAAGAGAAAAACAAATCAATAGAAACGGATACAGAAATGACAGTTAATAGAAAATATCTTAAAACAATTATTATAATTAATATTCCATATGTTCAAGAGGGTAGGGAAAAATTGAGCATATTAAATAGAGATATAGAAAATACAAAAATAACCCAAATCTGGTATCTAGAGAAATAAAATGTCTGACATGAAAACGACACTGAATGGAAATAACATATTAGATACTATGGGGAAAAAAAAAAAAAAAAACTAGTGAATTAAAGACGGAGCAATTAAAAATTTCCCAAAGGGAGAGAGAAAAAAAGACTGAAAAAAAAAAAAATGAACAAAACATCATTGAGGAGCTACATGTTAAAAAACAATAAAGAGAAATCTGTAGCTACACACAGAATAAAAACTGTGTATTGCCAAAGATAAAAGTGAATAGCTTAAAACAGCCCAAGAGAAATCAATTCTAAATCTATAGTTCTAAAAACATAATTTCAGAAAGTAAAAACAACTCTACTTTGAAGGAACATCTGAGATGCCAGAAAAAAGCTAAGCCAAAAAAAAAAAAAAGAGAGAGAACATGGGCAAACCTAAACACTGACTATATAAAATGCTAATAATATCCAATTTGGAGGTTAAATTAAAAACTAGAGGAATTTGTTTAGAATTAATATATTTTAACATCCTTGGTTTGGAAAGAAGGTATAGATATTTTCAATTTTTAGATGTTAAGTATGTTAAAATCTTAAAGGTAATCAAAAGTACTTAGAATGTTTAAATTTCAAATCAGTAGAGGGAAACTATATAATAAATAGAAAACGTAGCCAATCCAAAAAGAAGACAAAAAAGGGATAAGAATGGGAACAAGACATAGCATAGAACAAGAGAAAAATAGGAAGTAAAAAATAAGATGGGAAAAGTAAATTCAAATAGACTTGCACTTCCACACTACAGTGGGACAGATATGCTTAAGAGTTCTCCCAGTACAAAACACTAGGTCCCGGAGAAAACAGACTTTTGAATTAATTGCATGGTTGTACTACATAAGAGAAATCCCTAGGCCCCATCCCTCTACACTCGCAGAGGAAAAAAAAAAATCAAGCTGAAACAAAAGCAGGAAAGGAACAGGAAGCATCGGGCAAGAAGCAAGCTTGAAAGATAGGGTTTACCCAGAAGACAAATGCTGACAGTGACCTACAATTGACCTCTGGAGACAAAATCTTAGGAGAGTTGTAATGTCAAACAGACTAAGACAACTGCACTCAGGACCTAGAAGGGGCTAACGTCCCAGTGGATTGGGAACGCCTCACTGGGCAGCAAAAGCAGACCTTATATGAAGAAAAGCACCCACAATTTAGGTCCTTCGTCTTCCCACAGATTAAATTTAGCCACATGCTCAAGGAAACAAGCCAAAATGGTACACAACAATATCTAAAAATTTAGACATATAAAAACTTAAAATAGTGCTAAAATCATCAGAAATAGAATATAAAATATTTTGAGTTTTTTAAAATTAGAAATGGACTTACAAGAGACTATAATGAATAAACAAAAATCAGAAAAACAAGCAAATGGTAATTATTGAAATTAAAACCACCGTTGGTATTTTAAATAGTAGATGAGACACTGCTGAACAACAAATTAGTGAACAAGAGAACTGATGAAATTAGCCAGAATGCAGAACTGATAAAAAAGATAATGAAAAATAGCAGAGATTAAGGGACATAAAGGATAGAGTAATAAAGTCCATCCTTTGTGCAATCGAGACTCCTAGATGAATAGAGGAGCAACAGAGGAAAGGCTAGTGTCTAAGACTGTTAGAGAACGTGAATTGAAAGATACAAGATGCCACTATGTATCAAGGATAAAAATATGTCTACACTTCCAAATATTATAGTAAATCCATAGAACGCTGAAGAAAAAAGTTTATTAAAAGCAGAGGTAAAATATAACCTAAAAAGACAGATGCTGAGGCACAAACATGTTAATAGACTAAGGCCACAGAATACACAACAGAGCTGTAATATAGCCCCTCTGCATTCTCACTTCAGAAAGTAATTTTAACAACTATTTTATATTATCTTTTTAAACTGACCCAAACTGTTTACTTTCTTTTAACCTTTAAAAAAAATTTCCTAATTGTCCAATGACTTCTGGCTGAAATAACTGTAAGGATTATTGTAAATTTTAAAACATGAATTATCTAAAAATGCAATATACTCCTTTTATCAGTTTAACTATCTTATCAGAATATTATATATAGAAAATTCTATAGTCCTTGATTCAGAGCACTAAATGTTTGCCTGATGATTAACTTCTGATGTTCTTAATCCAAATTGTTTTTGATAACCATAAACTCCTTGTTAAAAATCCTTAGTGGTTAGGAAATTTTCAAAGTTCAGGAAATCTGAAACTAAGTTTAAACTTCTTACCTAGAAGAAAGTATTTTTAAGCTACTCTTTATCCACGTTTGTCTAATTTACCATTTTTTCTTTAGATTATATCTGCAAAAGTTACAAAGTTGAGGGAGGACTCCTCCAAACCAGTGCCGAGGGATACTTTGGTGTATTCTAGAAACATCCCGTGTCTTACAAATTATAAAATGTCCACATTCTTATATGCAATTTTTAATCCGGCAGGCAAAGGGGGAAAACAGTAATAACAGGAGAAAGAGGACACCCAACAATTTAGCTACTGTGTATACTTGTTGTGGGTATGACATCCTTAATCTCTTCTACAAAATGTAGAGATGCCAAAACATCTAACCCATTGCTTTTAGATCCTACAGACTGGCCAGAAGGAAATGGACTTCTCCCATTTTCTTACAAACCCACCACCTTGTGTTTCTGGTGTCCACTCTTCCCTTAATCTACTTGCATGGAGAATTCCTCCTGGTTCTCTACGACATGTACGCTCCCCCGCCCAAATCCCCACCTGGGCCCTGCCGCAAAATTTATTTGTTATTTATTGAGTGCCCTGTGTGCCGGGCATTGTGGTAGGTTCTAGGTGTAAAAGGAGCCATTAACTGAATATACAACACTTTGGTATTTTTTTTAAAAATCAACTTATTAAATAGTACATGGTACTTCAGTCAAAGATATGTACATTTTTAACAGGTGAGTTGGCAGTAGAAGTTCTTATTTGGCTGTTTCCTAATGGGCTGAATTTCTTGAGCCATTCTGTATCTCACAGAAAAAAAAAGTTCTTTGCTATAGCATAGCAATGATTTGGCTAGCCTACTGTTTTATATGCAGGCGTATGTATCTTCTCATTCAATTTATGAAAAATGTACTAACGCTGACCATGATATTCTTTTTATTGAAAAGCAATATAAAATAGTTTTAGAAACAAGAGGAAAGTAGTATTTTACATTATTTCTTCTGTTATGAATTTTTTATACATTGTGCCAGAATTTACTTCCCATAACTATTCTTGCTTTATTTGGTACACTTTATATTAGATTTCTACATTATTGCATATCTATTAGTGTTTAATTTATAGGAGCTTAATAAACTACTAATCTGAGAACAACAGTCTTTCCCTTGCTTTTTAGACCTTTTGCTCTGAACACGCTTATTTATGTACAATGTGGAAATCTGACCCTGTTCTCTTCCAATCAGCCAACAGTTCTTTTTGCACCTCTTCTGGTAGCTCATAGAAAATTTCAGGATCGACATCAGAAGGAAGAATAATTTTCTCATCAGTAGAATCTTGCTCTCCATTTCCTGGAAGTCCTTCATGAGGTGAGACTGTTGCTATTGGTTGCTTATGGCTATCTGTAGTGTGTTTTTTGGAGAAAAGTTGCTCACTCTGCAAATTTGGAAATGAATGGAAAATAGATACAGAGGGGTTTGTATTAGAAAAGTGGAATCCTTGAGATTCTTTAGGTCCTTGACTCATTCGTTCATCTTTTAAGCTACTGTCTAAATAATGCGAATAATCCTTTTGGCTAGACAGATAAGAGGAACTACTGTTATTTAAGCCTGATGTTCCTGGTTCACAGGGAGATATAGAGGGTATCTGTTTGCTATTGGATAAATGATCTCTAGAATTAAAGGGATTATTTTGCATTTGTTTTGTGGAAAAGAAAGATAATACTCCTCTAGAGGCATGTAAGGGACAACTCAAACTTCCTTTCCCTTGAACTTTTTCTATAGATTTTCCAGAAAGAATTTCTTCTTGAATATCTACTGGAAGTTGCTTAAAGACTTCTTGGTCAATACCCTCAGGAAGTGAGGAAAGTGGAAATTCATCACTGTCCTCTTCTTTAGAAAAACTTATAGTATCTAGTGGAGACTCCCCAGTTCTTGTACTTTCGATTCTTCCAGTTGGTAGAAAATCCCAATTTGTTTCTTTGTCTTTGGATAAATCCTCCATATGAGCGTCTTTCATTTTCTAGAACACAAGGATAACAGAATAATTTAGATATCTAATACCTTTTAAATATTCATGCTGCTGGAGTGTATCTATATCTATTTTCTGACCAACGTATTTCTATCCTACTCAAAAACTTCAATCCTTTTGGCTAATTTCAAACAGCTAGAGATGATTAATCCACCACAATTAGTCACACTATTGTGTGGATCTTTACTCACTATTCCAGGAAGAGGTTTCCTTCCTAGATAGCACTGAGCCAGAAGGTAGGTATGCATTTGAATTCAATTTAATTTCAAAACCAAAAAAACTTAAACATTTTAACAAAAACATTAAGGGGGAGAGGGGAAGTTCCGATAGCTTATGTAAACATTAACAGATAAAAGGATCCAATTTCCAATATCTGAAATATTTTCATATTTACGAGCTAATCATTAGATCCCTGTATACTGTTATAAAATGTTTCAACATCTCCAAAAGAGGAAATCCTCATAATGGTTTTCTCTTTTTAGCCGGTGACGCGTATGTGTTCCTCTTCCATCATGGTACAACGTACCTAAGGCTAGCCGCCATACCATGATCAGTACCATGTACATGTAAGCCATTCAAACGACATCACCCAAAAGAATCTCTAAATTACGTAAGTTAAATACAAGCTTAGATTTTTTAATTTAACCACACAAATCCAGTAACAGTGTACTTACAAAACTGCACTTGCCAGAGCGTGAAGTTGTTGATAATGATGGCGTTAAATAATAATCAATAGTCCCTTTCTTAGCAGTATTTAGTGCTTTAAGATTGCAGAAGCACACACTTAAAAGGGTCAGATGAAATGGCATCTTCACATTCACCATATTTCGAAAAAGTTTCATAAGTATATCAACCATTGGAGTCATCACGTCATAATTTCCTAAATAAAATGTTTAAGAAGACAATATCTAAACACATTATATATATCATAATTTATAACATTAAGTGCTTAATCTAAATTAAAATCCTGTACAGATATCATTGGAACTTCTCAACAATATATATGAAACTGAGACATCACAGAAATGCCAAATCAGTGTAAGTTTTCAAAACATTTGAAATACGGGATTTCTGATTATGGTGGAGTGATGATGTCAGAAAAATCTCTCCATAAAACTATAATAAAACTGAACAAAATTGTCAAAAGCAACCATTTTGAGGATCTCGAAGTAAACCAAAAGCAATTAAAGTATGAAACACTGATTTATGAAAAGCTGCCAGAACTTAGTTAAGAGAGTGGGAGACTGCTAGCAGCCTCATTGTCTGGGGTTGTTCACAGCCCCCTTTGCACAGCTCAGCTCGTAAAGCAGTTCTACCAGGGTGAGGCTGGCTGTAAAAGTCAGCAGCTTTGTTGCCAGAGAGGACAAACTTGATTTGAAGCAGAGAGCAAAATATCTAACAGTGTTGCCAGTAAAATGAACAAACCTGGTAGGAAACGAATGGAGAAATGGTACAGCTCTCTAGCCTAATGCTACAGTTGTGGTTGCAGTGAGAGAAAGATCAGTGGGCCAGCCATAAATTTAACCAGATCTGGAAATGAAAAAACCACAGAGGGCCTAGATAAATTGTCCTTACAATCCCAACTGACCAAGAGGCTATGCGCACGTGGAGTGGAGGGCAGAGAGCACCCCAGCTCTCCACACAACCCTGCCGGGAACGGCAATGAGCAAACCAATGGAGATGCCCGGCCTAGCAGAAAGTAAAAGCCAAGGCGGACTTGAAATGGCCCAAATTGTGAAAGGGTTCTCCAACCCATGTACATATCATGGGTTGACAGAAGGTAGAAGCCTTCCAGCTCTAACATTTGAGCAAAACCTTTGACCAATCATTCACTAACCACTTAACTGTGAAGACACAGGCATAACTTCCCAGGAAGCTAAAATAAAAAATTTTTAATTTTAAAAAGCTAAGCAGAGAAGTCTGGCAACACATCATAGGAAAGGTATATTCTGCAGCTTAAGTCCAGACAAGTTACACACACAAAAACAAGGCCCACAAGAAAAAAATTCCAATTTGTTACATTATATAAAATGTCCAGTTTTCAACAAAATATTACAATATATACAAAAAAAATAGGAGCGTGTGATTGATATTCAGAGGGATAAAATAGTCAATAGAAACTGAGTTGGATTTAGCAGACTTCGAAGTTGCTATTACAGATATGTTCAAAGAATTAAAGAAAACCATTTTAAAGAATTAAAGTAAAATATGATAACCACCAAGAAAAGGGGAATCTCAATAAACAAAATCAAACGTACAAAGAAAAAAGGAAATTCCAGAGTTAAAAAGTACAGTAACCAAAACAAACAAAATCACTAGACGGGCAACAGCAGTTGTAAGATGACAGAGCAATCAGAGAACTCGACAGCTCAATAAAAAAGGAAAGAAAAAAAAAAAGACTGAAGAAAAATGAACGGGACCGCACACACCTGTAGGACATTTTCAAGCATATCAACATATGCGTAGTACAAGTCCAAGAGAAGAGAAAAAAGGAAAGGATATTTAAAGAAATGAGCCAAAAACTTTGCAAATTTTACTTAAAAAATTATTCTACAGATCAAAAAAGCTCAATAAATCCTAAGTAGGATAAACACAGAGATTCCACACTCAGACATATGATAGTCAAACTCCTAAAAAAGAGACAAATGACTCATCATATAGAGGAGAACAACAGTACAACTACGCCTACTAACAAATTATTGCCTCTCAGCTCCAAATTCTGTGATAATGGGTTGGACTCCTTAAATGCTTTAACACTGAACCTGCTAAGCTTCGTCAGTAGAGAGCACTGGAGGACCATAAAAGGGGAAGTGGGGCTTCTCCTGATTCCAATGCACTATTTACTTTCTCTTGCTTCCATCTCATGGTCTGTTTGTGGTACATGTGTGGGGACGTCCAATAGTGCTCTGCCACAACACGTGTGGCACGCGAAGTCTCTCAGCAACCTCAAGCTCCAGCTCAAGCCTATCGACCATGTGACCGTGCCACCACCAATTCCAATACCAGCGCACACAGGCCAATGCCGTGAACAGTGTCCTGACTCCTTCTGCACATCCACCTAACAGCCTTGACTTGCCTATACCCCAGAGGGCTGTGTCCTCCAGCTCTTCCTACGCAGGCACCATACCCTCTGGGTTTGTGCTAGCAGAAGAATGTAGGTTCCTTCAGCACAACCACCCACCAGCCTCGGCTGGCCTGCAGCATGGAGGGCTGGAGAAACTCCCAACGTCCAATTCCACCTGTGTGCTCACCAACTAGCCTCAGCTCATCTGTCAGCAGGTGGATTTCCCTTGGCCCAATAACTATGGACCAACTCTAGGCCAGGTAACTCAAAGGATTTCTCCATCACCCAGTGTTCTGCAGCCACACATTTTCTTTCCAAGTTTGTCCTTCTTTGGGTACTTGTCCTCAGCCCTTGAGTACCTCTTAGAGTTTTCTTTATACCTTTGTAGAGTTAGGCAAAGAATTTTTACATTTGATACCAAAAGCACGATCCATAAAAGAAAAAACAAACACAATGAAATGCCACTACGCAGCCAGAAGAATGACTATCATAAGAGCAAATGACAATATCTAATGTTGTGAGAATAAGAAAAAACTGGAACCCTCATACATTGTTGGTGAGAATGTAAATTTTTACTCACACATTGGAAAAAGTTTGGTAGTTTCTTAGTTCAACTTACCATATAACCTAGCAGTTCTACTCCTTGTAATCTACCCAAGATAAACGAAAGCATGTATCCACCCAACGACTTGCCAGCAAGTGTTCACAGCATCCTTTTGCATAATAGCCAAAAGAAATGGAAACAATCTAAATGCCCATAAAGAAGTTATCTCATGCCATATAATTATCATAGTTTCGTTTTCTCTGAACTTGAGAAACATTTTTAACTGAGTCTTTACTTTCATTATCTATTAAAAAATAACAACAAAGTTTTCTGGTGAACATTTCTGACAGAATAAAGGTATTTAACAGCTCACTAATTCCCTACAAAGACCCTCCATCTTTGGATCATATTTCTAATTCAAAGTTTGCTTTTTTAAGTGTTTAACCTACCAATTAAATTATTAGAAA